GGTGAAGTCGTTTATGTGTCAGACGGTTTTGTAAATATTTAAGGTTAAGTTGGTGTTATGGTTGTGTTGTAAAATATACGTTACCGGTTTCGTAAAGTGTCAAACCATTATCTTGGGTAAGGTGGAACGCAGTGCCGCCGTAACCAAGATAGGGATACTAACTTATGGGAGAAACTTTGTCCGAATGTTAAACTATTCGGACAAAGTTTCTCCTATTTGTAGTGGAAATGGAAGGCTTTGAGGTATATTGTATTAATATATACCCCAAAGCCTTCCATCTCCACTTGAAAGTGTCCAAACTTTGGGTTAATAGTTTGCAATTAACCCAAAGTTTGGACACTTTCTAGAAGGAATTGGATGGTAAGAGATATACATTCATATGGTATATCTCTTACCCTCCAATTCCTTCTTAAAACTCATAAAAGTGGACCTTACATGCATATAAAATTTGATATGTAAAGTCCACTTTTTGTGAGCGGGGATTTGACTCCGTCAAATCCCTTTTTTCGTTTACGAGATGAATGATGCTGCTTGACCTGCCGTAGCTCCTTGCTGCCGTAGTTCGTTGCTGCCGTAGCTCCTTGCTGCTGCTTGATCGTAGATGTTGCCCTTGAATGCTGCCGCTTGACCGTAGATGTTGGCTGTGAATGTTATCGCTTCAACCGCTAGCTCCTAACTGCCTCCAAACAGCCGTTTTGCTATGACCTCAATCACTTTTATTTATTATTTTAAATATTATTTAATTTTATTATTTGAATAGGCCAACTTATATTTGAGAAGCTCAATTTGAGACCACTTAATACATTGAAATATCATAAATATTGAAATATTAAAAAGTGTATTTCAAAATATTGAAATTATAAAAATTTATAATACTGAAATTGAGACAAATTAATAAATTCAATGTGTTTTTTTTGAAATAACTCTCAAATATTATTTTTTTGTTTATTTAATGATGAATAATATGATTGCTTTAGTCAATCATAAAAACTAATTTAAGTTTAAAATAATGAAAGGATAATTTGATCGTTTTTTAAAATACAATTATTTTTGATGATTTGCAAGAATCTTTGAAAAGAATATAATATAGGTTCTATTTTTGTAAAATTTATCCAAATCATGTATTACATAAATTACGATTAAAACGATGAAAGAACCAAAAAGTGTGTTTTGTGTTTTGTTGTTGCGTGTTGGATGTGGGATCCTGTTATTTCCGAAATCGACAAAAAATTTGGAAATTTAATTTCCGAAATCGAAATTATATTAATGTTTTTAATATTCTTATATCAAAAGGATTAAAGTTCATTAAGAGAAAAACAATTCTTCTTCTTCAATCTATTGGCGCATTTATTTCTACACGCCAATAAGGAAGGGAAAATTATAAGACACCATGGTGTCTTCAAAACGCTAATTTTTGATATTTTTAACAACCCTAATTTTTAAGAATTTTTTTCGAATTTTTCGAAAAAAAAAATATTTCAGAACAGCCTTAACGGCTAAGATTTAGGAACAATGTTAAGTATCAAAAAGAAAGGAGGTCTGATATAGACAACATATATCGTTGAAGGTTGAAAAAATCTCTAATATTTGAGCCCAAAATTTCAAATTTTAATTTTTTGAAAAAAGAGGCCACCCGTATGTACGTTTATTTGAGAGGAGGAGGATTATATTTTTGAAAGGGGGAAACATTATGAATATGTTAATTATATAATAATATGTATTATTATAAAAAAGAAAAAAATAAAGCACGTTAAAATTTTTCTTTCTTGATTTTTTACAAAATCTACTTAGAATTATGCAAAATATGACTAAATAATTATAAATTTCAAGTTAAATTTTAATTTTGATAAATAATTTAAATTTCAAAATATCAAGTTCAGTTCGACTATGTATGTAGTAATTCCTCAATAAAGTGCCAAAACCCTATTAAAATATATGAACATTTTCAACATTTTAATGTTTTTATTTAAAAATTTGTTGGAATATGAGCTTCAAACAATTATTATGTAAATAAAAATAATTAAATATATGTATTTATTCGTATTACAACCGTAGTAAGTCGATTCTTCCTTTCTTCTACTGAGGTTTGAATTTGATTTCGAATTGTAAAGAGATTCAAAGGGAAAATACTAGCGGATAAAAACTACCTCCATGAAAGGGTCATAATGGAGTCAAGTTGTATTTTTTGATATTTTTTGCTTTTCGAGCCTAAATAGGTAGCCAAGATAATGCCTAAAAATAAGGTTCTAAATTCTGAAGTTTACATGATCCTCTCGTGTGCACCCTTAAATCATCGTGTAAAAAATTCAAATGTTTTTGTTTGTCTCTTTGGCAAGATGCTTGTCAATGCGTATTGATGTTGATGGTAGATGGATCAAGCCTTAATGATATAGTTAATAATATCAACTTGTTAAGTCTCAAATGAAACTTATTTACATCTTATCACAGGATTCGACTTTTCTATGATAAACCTTAACGAATATCCAAGTCTACAGTCTTTGCGTGCCGATCCTGATACATATTCCAGCAATATTCCTTCATCATCCTTCCAAGGCCGAAGTAATATTAATGACATATCGTTTCCTGATGTAACGTCAATCTTACAGTCCACATTTAGTGGTTGCTCAGAGCTTGTCAACGTTGTTTTCGAAAATGCACTAAAATCGAAAATAACGCATTTAATAATTGCCCAAAACTCGAATATATTTCATTTCCTGCTCTTGTTACGATATCAAATAGTGGGTTCAATGGATGTACAAGTCTTAGAAAGCCCAGAATTCTCCAGTTTACAAAAATCGAATCTAACGCTTTTTCTGGCTGCAGTAGTTTAACTGAAATCACAGCCCCACAATTAGTTACTATTGGTGAAAGTGCTTTTTCTGGATGTACATCGTTAACGACACTTTTGGCACCTAAAATTCAAAGTATTCAAAAACTTTCATTCTCCAGATGTAAATTCAAAAATATTACGATGGAGAAAGTGATAAATCTTGTGAAAGTGATTTCTTGAATGCGGCGAACTTGTTTACATTAATCTTCCCTTATTAACTACATTAGGAAAGGTGCTTTCATGAGTTGCAACAACTTAGAAACAGTTTTTCCAAAAATACAAAGTTTTCCAACAGATTCTTTCCCAAGCAATGCAAAAAGTATCAACATCTTCTTGGATAGTCTTGTAAACTCAAACAAATAACTTTGGATCGTTAAAGAACATTCAAAAACTTTCAATTCCTAATTGCGAAACATTTGAAAGTTCTGCTTTATCAGATACAAACATTGTTACAATTGATTGTCCAAAACTCAAACATTGGAAATTCTGCACTTAAAATTGTGCAAAATTGACAAAATTGACTTAGAAAATGTTAAAAATGTTGGTGAACTATCATTCAACGGATGTAACGGCTAAAAGTTTTTAATTTGCTTCATGTTTAACATTAGGAAATAGTTGTTTCAAAGGCTGTCAAAATATGATTGAAATCAATCTTCCAAATGTCAAAGAATTACCAAATCTTGTTTTGATATTGTGTTTCTATTTCGGAAATTTCACAACTAAATAATGTTGAAAAAATTGGTGAAAGATGTTTTTATAACTGTGCTGATTTAGTCAGTATAAATTTGCCAAATTGTTTAATCTTTGGCAATTTTTAGTTTTACAGCATGCGAAAAATTGAAAAATATCCAATTTCCAAATTGTCAAATATTTGGAATCGAAATGTTTTAGTCAGTGCAAAAACTTAGAAACATTAAAATTCAACAATCTTAAAGAAGTTGGTCATGATTGTTTTCAGTTATTGCGGCGCGAAACTAAAAGAAATTGATTTCCAAGTTTAGTTGTTTTGGGTGAATACTGTTTCCAGAATTCTCCAAACTTAGAAGTTGTCAAATTACAAAAATTGGAAAATCTGCCAACAAATGTTTTTGACAAAAATACTTCAATTTCTCTCTTAGTTTTGAACGGAATCAAAACATTGAAGACCAAATGCTTAGGAGAAGTCTTAAATATCACAAGAATAGAATTAAATACATGCGAAATCATTGAAGATTATGCATTAAATGGATCAACAGTTAATGAAATATTGATTCCAAATGTGAAGAAGATTTCAAAATCTTCATTCCAAAATTGTCAAAATTTGAAAGTTTTAGAAGCTCCTCAACTCACAGAAATTGGTGATTATTCATTTAGTAACTGTAATAATTTAGAAAGAATTTCTTGTGACAAATTATTAACTATTTGTAATCATTGTTTCGAAGAATGTTCTAATTTGAAAGAAATCAATTTACCAAACGTTCAAAATATTAATGATTCATCATTCAAGAATTGTAAAAATCTTGAGAAAATTATTTGTTCCAATTGTGAACTTTTAGGAAATTTAGTATTTGAAAATTGTCAGAAACTTAATGAAATTCAATTTAACAATCTCAAAGAAATTGGAGATCAAACATTCCTTAATTGCAACAAATTAGTTATTGTTTCTCTTCCTTCATTGACAAAAATTGGATCATCTGTGTTTTCTAACTGTAATTCTATCACAACAATCAATTTATCATCAATCAAATCAATCAACACAAACTTCTTAGAAAACATCAATTCACAACATCATATTTCATTATATATAGATTCACTTGAAACATTACCAGAACCAAACTATTTCAATTTACTTGAATTTGAAACACTCTCTCTTAACTCAATCGAACGCATCTCAAAATTCGAAAACTCATTAATTCACTCCATTTCGATCCATAATGTTTTGATTATTGAAAACTCCACATTTTATAATTGTACAAAATTAACAAAAATTGAATGTCAAAAAGTGACAGAAATTGGTGAGTTATCGTTTAGTGGTTGTATATTATTAACTTCCATTGATTCTCCTTCATGTGTAACATTAGGAAATAGTTGCTTCAAAGACTGTCAAAAATTAACAGAAATAAATTTGCCAAATGTCAAAATTTTGCCAGCATCATGTTTCGAAAATTGTGATTCTATTTCGGAACTTACAATGATTTCAAAAGTTGAACAAGTTGAAAACAGATGCTTCTTTAACTGCGCTAATTTAGAAAAGATCAATTTACCAAATTGTCAAACATTTGGCAGTTTTTGTTTTGAAAATTGTCAAAAACTGAAATTTGTTGACTTTACAAATTGTCAAATTTTTGGTGAAAGCTGTCTCAATCATTGCGAAAGCTTAGAAACATTAAAGCTCGGTAACTTAAGAGAAGTTGGAAATAATTGTTTCAACAACTGCTTGAAACTTAAAGAAGCTGAATTTCCAAGTCTAATTGTTTTAGGAGAAAATTGTTTCATGTTTTGTTCGAATTTAGAAACAGTTAAATTCCAAAAATTGGAAAATTTGCCATTGAATACTTTTGACAAGAGTTCAACAATTTCTCTTTTAGTTTTGAACGGAATCAAAACATTGAAAACAAATTGTTTGGGAGAATTGTTAAATGTAGGTAAATTAGAATTAAATAGTTGTGAAACAATTGAAGATAATGCATTGAATGGATCAACAGTTAATGAAATATTGATTCCAAATGTGAAGAAGATTTCAAAATCTTCATTCCAAAATTGTCAAAATTTGAAAGTTTTAGAAGCTCCTCAACTCACAGAAATTGGTGATTATTCATTTAGTAACTGTAATAATTTAGAAAGAATTTCTTGTGACAAATTATTAACTATTGGTAATCATTGTTTCGAAGAATGTTCTAATTTGAAAGAAATCAATTTACCAAACGTTCAGAAGATTAATGATTCATCATTCAAGAATTGTAAAAATCTTGAGAAAATTATTTGTTCCAATTGTGAACTTTTAGGAAATTTAGTATTTGAAAATTGTCAGAAACTTAATGAAATTCAATTTAACAATCTCAAAGAAATTGGAGATCAAACATTCCTTAATTGCAACAATTAGTTATTGTTTCTCTTCCTTCATTGACAAAAATTGGATATCTGTGTTTTCTAACTGTAATTCTATCACAACAATCAATTTTCATAATCAATCAATTCAACACAAACTTCTTAGAAAACATCAATTCACAACATCATATTTCATTATATATAGATTCACTTGAAACATTACCAGAACCAAACTATTTCAATTTACTTGAATTTGAAACACTTTCTCTTAACTCAATCGAACGCATCTCAAAATTCGAAAACTCATTAATTCACTCCATTTCGATCCATAATGTTTTGATTATTGAAAACTCCACATTTTATAATTGTACAAAATTAACAAAAATTGAATGTCAAAAAGTGACAGAAATTGGAAATTGTTCATTTTATAATTGTCATGCACTTGAAGAATTGCATCTAAATAGTCTGAAAAAGATCATTGGACAAATGAATTTCTTTGGCTGCTCATCTCTGAAATTAATTGAGATGCCAAATCTTGAAACTGTTGATGAACATTACAGTGATTATTTTGATGGTTGTTCATCATTGAAAGAAATTTCATTGGGAGACAAACCCCCAAATAAATTTGGAAGCCAAACTAATTTCTCCCAAATAAAGATTAATCTTCCATCTAAGAAATCATGGGATAATTACGCTAGCCAATGCACGCAAACATTCGTTGGAGAAAATATTTGGTATGGATATAAGACAAAGACTTATAACACCAAGAAACTTTCTATTTTCTTGGTTATAACTGTTGGAATTCCTATTTTTATAGTTATTCTTATATTAGTTATTGTTTATGTATCAGATCTAAGAGAAAGAAGAATTCGTTTGAAGCTAAGACCACCACAACTGATTCTCTTCTCGCTACACCTGTTTTAATATAAAATAATATGTATTTATCAACTTCAATTGAAAAATTCTTTTATAACTAAAAATTATTTATTATAGCTATTTTTAAATTGCAATTGAAATAAAAACAGCAAAACTAGATAAACCTGGTAATGATGAAAAGCTATTCTGTTTGCATGATATTTCTCTTTCTGCGCAAATCTCAGCAAATGCAATATCTGGGATGCCACGTTCTGAAAATTTACTGCGTTTAGTTTTCATACACTGAACAGAACCGCATTTACGAAGTTTTGTACAGCCATCAAATGCATCCTTCCCAATGGTGGCAAGATTTGAAGATGGAACATATAAGAACGAAAGGCTTGTGCAGTTTGTGAATGACATGTATCCAATATCTGTGAGCCGATCTCCGTAGAAGAGAACTCGAGTCAGATACTTGCTTCCCATGAAAGCATAGTTTCCAATGGACTGCATTGTTGGAGGAACAATAAATGTCGTTATTCTAATTGATGGAAAGAATGTGATCAAAATTGTCTCGTTGACATCAGTCAATGCACCGTTGTTGTAAGTGTGATTCTCACTATTCGACTTTACTGTGTTAAGACTGTCGCAGTCAAAAAATGCACCGCCATATACATCTCGTAGTTTGCTGCCTGAACTTAGAGTTATCATAGACAATGATGTGCAGCCTTTGAAAGCAAAAGAACGAATTGTATCAACTGTCTTCGGAATTGTGAGTGAAGTTAGGCTGATACAATCCATAAAATACTTGCTCTCAATAGTAGCAATACCATCATTCAATGTGAGATAATTCAGCAAAGTACAGTTGTTGAAACAAAGTTCTGGAATACTTTCGACAGAGATTTCCACATGGGTGAGTGAGCTTGATTCGAAACATCCAATTCCGACTTTTGAAAGAGTGTGGGAAACGTCGAATGCGCTAAGTCCACTCATTTCGAAACTAGACAATCCAAGAATGCTTATCGCAGTGTTTTGGAATCCGATATCACTGATGCTGAAACATCTAATGAATGCGTAATCTCCGATGGATGTTATTGATGTTGGCAATTGGAATTCACTGAGCAAGAAACAATTTTTAAAACAATAATTAGGAATTACACTGATTTTGTTTCCTGTGAATGTTACTGTTGTTAATTTATTACAAGATTCAAAACAATTTGTGCCAAGTGTTGTCAAGCTGCTTGGTATTGTAATCTCAACTAAAGTTGAACCAGAAAATGCATTTCCTTTGATTTCTGTCAATGAATTTCCATCAAACGTTAGTTTCTTCAATTTTTTCCCTGAAAATGTTCCTGTTCCAATGATCGTACACTGTGAATGAATTTTAAATGAAGCCTCTGAGTCTTGGCCAAAATGGTCAGTAAGTAATGCATTTCCTTTCGAAAATAGCATGTCATCTACAAATAGAAAGTGATCGTTATGTGATGTATCTATTTTAAGAAAACATTGTTTGAATACAGCTTCACCTAAAGTTGTTAGAGATGCAGGAAATGTTAATTGCTTCAAACTAACACATCTATCGAAAACATAATTTCCTATTGTTGTCAATTTTGGTGTAAAATTAATGCTCTCTAACTTATAACAAATTGAGAAAGCATAGTCATCTATTTTAACAATATTATCACTTAAAACAACTGACTTTAATAATTCACATCCGTAAAACATTGAATGTACTACTTCAGTTGCAGCTGTTGGAAACGTAAAATTTGTTATATTTGTTTGGCCTAAGCAAAATCTTGAAAATGATATCGGAGTTGAAGGGAGAATTATATTTGTTATTGGCACTCCACGAAAGCATGAATCTGAAAGCTTGGTTATTGTTGATGGAATGACAAAAGTACCTGTTAAATTTGGAGAAACACTGTAAATTGTTGCTTTATTATCTGAGAAAATTATCAGTCCTTCTGATTGATATATTGGATTGTTTTCATCGATTTCGATTCTTGACAATTGTTTGCAATTTAAGAATGAAGCAGCGTCTAATGATGTTAAGTATTGTGGAATGAAAATATAAGTTATCATGGAGCTTTCAAAGGCGGCATCTAGTATTCTCTTTAGATTTGATGTTCGTTTTATAATAATTTCACTCAAAGCTGCATGGAAGACGGAACCATCATCAGCGGACCATGCATCAATTGTCTCGACGGTATCTGGTAATGTTATCGAAACTAAATTTGAGTCAGCATAAAAACAACCTGAACAAATTGCAGTAATTTTTGGAGGCATTTTTATACTTTTCAAATTCATGCAATTAGAAAAAAGGGAATTATTTAAGGACAATAGTTGTGTGCATTGTTCCATGTCAACTCTTTCGAGTGATGAATAGGAAAAACACCATTTACAAATATATTGAATTTTACTAGAAACATCAGAGAAAGGGACAGACTAGCCCATTGTCACTTTTTAATTTAGCAAATGAACGCTTATGGAGTGGAGTTTTTGGGTAAATCTGATTTGCTTATAAATGAAATAAAATCAAAAGAAACCATATTGGTATTATATTATGCAAAAATAAATGATCTTACTTAGTACTTTTAAAGTTAATTTCAGAAAAAATTTGACACAATGGTATCCGGCACATACAAGTGGTGTACAACCAAAATATAAGTTGGTTTAAACATATATTGCTATATCTCATGATCTTACTTAGTACTTTTAAAGTTAATTTCAGAAAAAATTTGACACAATGGTATCCGGCACATACAAGTGGTGTTCAACCAAAATTTCATATCCCTAGTTTTACATTTATGTTTAGTTTTATTTCACCTAATTTTCAAAGATCATAATTGAATTAGATGGCCAAGCTATTCAAAACACGACCAAGCTTATCAAAATAAGACCAATATATTCAAAATTCTTTATTCTTTCAAATCATTTCATTTTAATGCAGATCCAAGATCACGAACTCACATATATCGAGTTGCTTAAGTATGGAGTGCAACAAGAAATCCAAGCAGGTTGTAGTTATTCATATAAAACTAGGAAAGAAAGAAATCAAATCCAATTTAATTGTAAGTGGCTGAATTGTCCATGTCGCTTCCTTGTTGATACACTTCCCGATGACAAGTACCACATACGAAAATGTATTAACACCCACAATCATTCTGCCCCTTTTCCAAACAAATCACAACAAATTACATCATATTTTTATAGATCTTATTTAACAAGATATTTTGAATCAAATCAAGACCGTGTTTACGCACAATTAAGGTGTTTCAAAGATCTTAATATCCCATTTGATAGTGGGATCATTCCGGAAATGTTTCAACAATCTACAGATGCTTTAAAAAAGTTTTCTAAACGCCTTCATGCAATCAATACCCGTTTCTCAGCGGATGATGTTACATCTCTTGCAATTTTTGTCGACATGGTTAAGAGTCATTCTCCAGATGATCTCATCGAGTTTATTCACGAGCCAGATCGTATGATTTTCTATTACGCCCCATTCGAAGCAAATGCTTTTTCACATCAAATACAAACTTATCACATTGATTCCATATAAGCTCTTGCGCTCTCGCATACCATTTTATGCCGTCACTGGCAAATTCGCGGAATCAATTGTTTTTCCGTTTTTGTATTTTTTCGTTTGGCCCGACACAAGTGAAAATATACAAGTTTGTCTCACAGCATATTTTGGCTCCATCAATCGCGAACCATCTTATTTTTCAATGGACTGCGCACCTCAAATCACAAATGCTGTTGAAACAGCCATCCCCTTATGCCAGATCATTTGGTGTGGCGTTCATGTGTTGCGCGCTGTCATGAGAAAGGCTGAAAAGTTTCAAGATCGTTCCAACTTCGAAACTTTCTATAACTTAATGAAGTTATTGGTCTTTGGTTCTGAAGAGGAAGAAATTGATCCTGATGAAGTTTACAACAATTTAGAAGAAATTTTAAATGAGGAACCTGCTGCCCGTGAATATTTGACCGACAGTGCGCCATCATCTTGACAGGTGGATGCTTCGCTATAGAAATGAAGGAGATGGAACAAACAACATCTCGGAATCACATTTCAAGGTTTTGAAGCACCAGTACTTCCCAGAAAGGCGA